TAAACTTACTCTAAACAATTTACATTTTCTCTAATCTTCATTTTTAGGAGTTATGAAACTTTAGTGAAACCATGCACAGTAGGATAAAGGTGTCTTCAGCGTGCTTGCACGAGAATTAGGTAGAGCTAGTGAACTACCTCACACTGTTATTTGGTTCACGAAAACTGATAGCCTTGAGAAATTTAATTTAGAAAGCTGCACATTTTGAGTAATATATAGATTACCTGACATGTAGGTTATTATTCAATTGAGAGATTTTATATGAAAATTTTAAATTAAATGCTACTGGCAGTTGCTAAAGATTGTATTTTTAATTATTCTATTTTTCACCCCATGTCTCTTCTTTTGTCATTGACATTTTAGGTTGCTGACAGAATATTCCTTTAGCTCAAATTTGTATTACGATCCCAGATGACAGAGACACACAGTAGGCACTTAGTAAATGCCTGTTGTTAAGTAAGTGACCTTATTTACCATGCTCACTTTGTGGGTTGCTGCTGAAATTATTTTGGCTTCTACTTCACTTTTTCAAGGATACAAGGGATTTTACTGAGCTGCTCAGCCTCAATGTGATTAATGAGATTTCTAACCATGTTCAAATTGGTGCTATCGAATATCTAGGGTCTGAAACTAGAGAGTTGTTGATTGAGTATGCTTATGTCTCCTCTGACTGAGGCCAGACAGAAAAAATAGACCCTCTTAACAGGGCTTAACGTTTCTGATTGAAGATACTTTGAACTGAACATGAAGGCACAGGATGTGTTACATGAGCTTAAGCAAGTACTTGTTTATGCCCACATTTTAACTTAAGCTAAAGGTTTGTATCTCGATAGAGAGAGATATATATATAAAATTGCAAAATTCTTCAAGTATCTGACATATTTAAGCTCTATTTGTAATGTGCTTTTTTATGTATTTGACTATTTCAATGCAATGATTTCATTGGGATTTCTGAAGGCTTGATTTTTTTTTTTTGAAAAATGAGCCACACTTATATTTGAATTTATTTTAGGTGTCAGTAGTGTATGACACAGATGAAGATATTGCGGGTTATTTCAAAAATTTTTGTTTTTGTGTAAAAGAATGTAAAACTAACTGTCAAAAAAATTATTTATTTGTATTGTTTATGGTATTACATCCACTTTTTCTCTGTTTCCCCACTTCCACCCCTCCCTAAGTTAATCCCCATATTATTGTCCATACCCATGCATTGTGCATAAATGTTCTTTGGGCAATACCTGTACCATCTTTCATCTCATTCCTCCTAAAATTTTGGCAGCTTTCGGGCTGTTTCATGTATCTAAACTTCTGTTACTCTTTCATTCATTAGTTTATTGTGTTTATTAGATTCCACATATAAGTGAGATCATGTTGTATTTGTCTTTCACTAACTGGTTTAATTCACTTAGCAAAATATTCTCCAGGTCCATCTATGCTGTGGCAAAATGTAAGAGTTTCTTCTTTTTTACTGCTGTGTAGTATTCCATTGTGTAAATGTCTACCACTTTTTTATCCACTCACCTGATGGGCATGTAGGCTGTTTCCAATCTTGGCTATTGTAAATATCACTGCTATAAACAAACAGGTGCATATATATTTTTTGTATTGGTGTTTTGGGATCCTCAGGATATATCCCTAGAAGTTGAATCTCTGGGTTGAAAGGGGGTTTCATTTTTTATTTTTAAAGGATGCTCCATGTTGTTTTCCACCGAGGCTGCACCAGTTTGCATTCCCACCCACAGTGTGCTAGGGTTCCCTCTTCTCCATATCCTCGCCAGCACCTGTTGTTTTTTTATTTATTGATGGTAGCCATTCTGACGGGTGTAAGGTGATGTCTCATTGAGGTTTTAATCTATATTTCTCTAAGATTGTATGTTTTTGATCATGAAGGTGTGAGCTATGACTAGGCAAACCAATGACAAAGTCTTAGGAAAAGAACCTACATCATACTTTATTGAATTATTTTTGTCATATCTCTATGAGAGACAAAACTGTATCATCCAGATCTTCTATAGTGTAAACGGTCAGCAGAAAATGGAGAGACCGACACTCTTGTCAGAGTAGCTTGCACAAGCACTCATTTAACTATCATTAATACATGTGTTTTAAAACGGTTCTATAAATGCAATAGAGAATGAGTTCACATCCATTCACTTACAATACACTGTTCTCTTTATAGCAAGTGGTAGCACTCTTATTAACATGCATAAAGGAGTGTCATGCATATTTTTTATGTTTTGAAATTATTTTTAACTTCTTGGGATTATCTATTATTCTAAGTTGACCAGATCATTTTTTAATTTCTGTTTTCAAAGGTGTTTATTTTTTTCTAAATTTGGTGTTGTTTGAAAACTTATGGCACGTAACCTCAATTCTAGCATCAAATCTGATGAAAACATTCTACAACATTTGTTCCTGGTCTTTCCACATTGTTGCTCTGCTGCTGATTATTGCATTTTGTATGACTGTTTCTTGAAGAGTATGCAGGTGTTTGACAGGGCTATATCCAAACCATTTACTCCATCCTTAGATGGTTGATTGAAATATTTTAAGGATTAAAGTTAAAATCATTACTAATTACCGGATAGTAAACCAGGATTCTTCTCTAGGTCGCCAAAGCCTTTCTCTGTCTTAGAGGAGATAAAGTTAAGGAAAGCATCCTTTCATTTGTCAGTTATTCAGCGAACATTTGTGAGGCGCTTGGAATACGTGAATAGGCTGAGAAGTACACCCGAGGCAACCGCGGCGGAAGGATAGGCGCAGGCTTCCCCTTCAGCGGCGGTGTGGGATGGGGAAGAGCGCTGGACTGTGAGTTCACTGGATTCCAGCTCTAGTGCCGTCATGAACGAGCTGCACAATTTTGGTAGATGTATATTTCCCGGGACTTTGGTTCCCTTATTTATAGAATTAGTAATTATACCAGCTCTAACATTTTATTATCTTGCAACTTGATTTCTTCCGACTTCAACATCTAAAAATTATCTTAAAAGCATGTCATCATTTTATAATTTGATTATTTGATTTACCATTTGACCCCAAAGAAGTATACTTAAGATCCTATTCTCTTCTCCCAACATTAATACACACACACGCGCGCGCACAGGCATGCACATGTGCATATTTTGAAGATGTGTAGTGCTTATCTTAAGGGCAAATTTGGCTCTACTCTGTAAATGTGTTCAGAAAATAATATAACACAGATACTGAAGGCAGCTTGTTTTTAACTTGTAGCTAAACATGACATTCAAATGTTAATTGGGTGAATAAATCTTGTTCATTTTACAGACATGGAAATGTCAATGGAATAAAACTATTTATCACAAGATAATGGTCTCCTGCCGCCAGATAAATGCCAAGATGAAGATACTTATTGAAAATGTATCAAAATATTCTATTGCTATTTATTGAAAATAAAGGTTGAGGAAAAGTTCAACTTTTCAGGTCAAACATGAGAAATGCTCTGCCTGTGGTATTAGTGTATTACTATATCAAACACAATGTGCATGGTATAGAAACATGGGAAAATTCTAAGAAAAAAAATGGCCTGTAAAGGAATCTTCCAGCTTTGCAGCATGAGCGTTACTGGAATAGTGCCGTGGGGGCTGGGAGGAGACACCTAATATTTATTTAGCTCTTATTACGTGTCTGACACAGTGTGTTCACTTAATGTGAGCCTCCTGAGAAAGAAATTTGAAAAGAATTACTGTCCTCATTTTACAGGTACAGTTAAAAGCAAAATAACTTGCAGTCACATAGAGAACAAGTGCAAACACTAGGGCTCAAATTCAGCCCAGACTCCAAATCTTTCTCCTACCCACTGCATCTCTAGTTATATGCTGTAAGTCTGAATACAATGCATTTTAGTTTGGGTTTTTTTATAGATTATTTCCCCAAGTTTTTTTGCATTTGGTAACCAAATATTTCTTTATATTTCATGATTTAATATACTGATGAATTTTCTTTAAATGATATTGTCTACTTGCCTAAGGAAAAGAGCACATCTACACCCGTAAGTTTTGAGGACTTGATAGCTCTGAAAGTGTCAGCACTAGATTCTAGCAGTTAGACCACCTTCTTTCCAGCAGTGTGTGGTTAGAAGTCTTTAGATCAACTTCCTGCTTTCTTTTCCGAACTTAGATATCTATTTTTCCATTTTACTCGTCTTCTGCCATGGTGATCTTCATAAAATACATTTATTGGAGTGTATAAGAATATAGACCAATAACTGAAGCTGTTTAAACAAAGAAAAGGGGAATTATTGTTCACTAAAGCGTTTACTAATCTCTCCATGCAGGTCCCTCCTCAGGTCCCTTCACCTCTAACATCACTCCGCCCACCTGCCACAAACACTGGGTGTTTATGTCCCCCTCCTCTGGACTATCAGTGAACTGCAGTTTTCCTCTGGCAGCAACCAATTTCTTTGTACCCAGTATTTTAGTCATTGGCATATTATTGAGGTACTTGCCATAGTTTCCCTGGTAGTAAGGCCGGCTTCTTGCTAGGGTAAATTGTGTGTTTTCAATCTCTCTCTTCCCTATGATACCCAGCAGAGTGATGTGACCATTACAGATACTCAATGAGAGCAAAAGAAGCATGTGCGTGGTCTCTGATTTTAAGGACCATCACGACTTCAGAAGTATCCATAGCACACCCTTCTGAATATGGGAGTCTGTCTACCTGGTCCTTTACTTATGCTCGTATCTAGTAATTCTCTCTAAAACACATTTGGATTTTATTGGTTTTATAAACTTTGTAGAGGCATTGAATTTGCAGATAATTTAACTGCTAAATGGTTCAAAGGAGGGAGGCCTGAATGTTTAAATGTCCCTCAGGAAAAAAAACAACTAGTTCACATAGCACTCTGTTGATATATAGATTGTATGTGTACTAGTAAAGGTTTTTTAGAAAGTCATAATATTCTCCTGATAGGTTTAGATAGACACCAAGCACCGCTGAGTGACGCAGATTACTGACTGATAGTCTACCGTGCACTTTCGCAGACGGAAGGCCTTTACCCCTGAAGGACATATGGGAAGGCGTCGGTGAGTGCTACAAGACGCGGCTGCAGCAGGGGCCCTGGGACACCATTACCCAACAGGTTGGAGAGTATTTTCATTTTATTATATGTGATCCTTTTACTATGCTCATTTTTTCACCTAGTACTCTCTTCCCTACTCTTTCCTATCTCACTTTTCTACGTACTTACAAATTTCGATTCAAAGACAAATTTCATTTAAAAAAAAAAACAACAAACCTTCCCAGACCCAGGCTTGGGTTAGCCTCCCTGTTATCAACTCTCATAACAGCCTGTAATTTTTTCATAGTGCTTATCACATTTTACATTATATATTTGGATATTTAGAAAAATTAATGTCTGCCCTCTATATTATACTGTGTGCTGTCACGTGGACAGACCATATCTGTTTTGCTCTTCACTGTACAGCCAGCACCAGCATAGTTCTTAAAGTATAGTAGATGCTCGACAAAAATGTATTAAATAAATGAGAATAGAAGCGAAGTTGGCATATACACTAAAAAATAGATGATTTAGCTGGTGTTACCTCTGATGTTTCAAAGTTTTACTTGTAGGAGTATTTGCAAAAAAATTAACTTTTGATTAATAATAGCTTTGCATTAGTGATCTGAAAAAGCAGAGAAAATAGATCTGCAAAAGTAAATATAAAAAGTAGATTTGCAAAAGTAGAGAAAATAGATGTCAATCATATATGTCATTATTACTGCCTTGCTAAAATCAGTAGTTAATTATTTTAGAAATTTAAAAATACTCATCACCTTGCAACCAATTATGGTTTCCTAAAACATAATTTTTACTTATATCAAAATCTTATTTTTCCAAGGCTCTGTTGAGCTTAATCAAAGCTTCCTTTAAAGATGACTTTATCAACTATTAACATTTTTATGCTCTTATGTGTTTGATCATAATAATGACAGTTTATCTCCCAATCAGCATAAGAATCCTTAGCATTTTATAAGTAGTTCTTTGACAATGATTACAAATGACCATTTTTTACATTTTAATTGAGGACAAAACCAGATTTAAGTATGTGTCTTTCACACTGCCCCTCAAATTAGTTTTTTCCTTTTCCTTCCCACTTTGGCTCTCCTAGATTAAACCACATAGCCTCACCTGAAACAATTAGTAAAGTCTCCTACCTCTGGTCCTCTGCTCCTTTCTTCCCTGCCTGTCTTACCATTAGTCACATCTTAACTATTGCTGCGTTTATCCTACCCACGTGCAAACCCACGGTAGATCTGCAAGGGCCTGCGGCATGTGGTCTAAATGCCTCAGCAGGCCTTCAGTGGCTGTCACTCCCTGGCTGCCGAACATAGCCATTCATTTCCCTGAACCTGGCTTGTGCATTTTGTTTTTGGAATTCTTTCCACGTTTAATACCATCCTTGTTGCCTTTGTTCCTTCTTTGTATTTTCTCCTCTTGTTCTCTCCTATATTCCTTTCTCTGAAGTCCCCTCGGCTCACAAGAGTGCCCCCTTTGAAATCCTAATTATGTAGAATAGGCATGGGGTAGTTGGTATGGTAAAGGGTAATGAGATATATAAGCAAACCAGTCACAAAAGATTTTTTGGCAAGAGCATTTTATTTTATGCAAAATATTTTAGATTGACCTTTCAGTATGTCAAGGTGAGTGCTAAGAGTTTCAACTTCCAATGTCGTCATTGACCACGAGCTATCCAAAAATGTATACTGCAACTTCAGAATCCACAGGGCCCAGAAAATGTTTGGTTGTAAGAGTGAAGGAGATGGCAAAGGATAGAGGGAGAGAGCATCATACACAAAAGTACGTTTTTAACTTTAGTGCCTTTTTTCTCAGCTCTTTCTCAGTTATGTTTTCCATTGTGTTCCTGAGCCCAATTCTTATCCTTTTCCTTTTTTTTTTTTTTTTTGTCTCTAGCAGCTCTGTTATTAATCTTCTCAGTGCAAGCCTTCTCATAGAAGAGTTGCTGGTGGTCTATGTCATTTTGGGTTTTAATTCCACACGTCTCTGTTCTGACTCATGTCATATGAAGAAGATTTTAAACTCAACTCTTTTCTTAGTTTCCTAATATGATGTTATGAATAGGTTTCATTCAAATAATAGAACTCCTAAGTTGCTAAACCAACCAAACAAACTTAGTCTGTACCTTACTTGTTCTTAATGGAATTGATTAATACCTTTCAATTTATAGACATTTAAGTGTCATATTGATAGACTATTATTATAATTTTTTTTGTATCTATCATAGCATAGTAATAATTATCAAATCCAATCACAATAAACATCACTATTCCTAACACCAGGTGTGGACCCACTTAATAGGAAAGATATTTGATATAACCAAACTACAACACAACTTTAATGTTTAGATGTTCCTTTGGAATTTGTCTTACAAGGATTGATTTGTGGATAGCTATCTCACTTTAGATAACAAATTTTATTTAAGCTTTCGAATTGCTTATTACAGTGTATGTACAGGCACTAAAGACCTAGCACATTTGTTGTCATTGCACTACTTGGCATTTGAAAGTCATTATGAATGCTTCCTTTGAGGTCTTGGCTTTTAATCCCAGATTGGCTAATGGGTTGGTATTTATGTGCTTTCCCTTGCTTGAGATCTTTGAGAGGATGAGTCTTCATTTTTGTAAGCCTGCATGTGGAGAAAAAAATAGTGGGATGAAGGGAAAGGTACAATACAACACGAGGGAAGAATGAGCTGATAGAATACAGGGTAGGGCAAAAGTAGGCTCACAGTTGTATGTGAAACATGGTTAATTCTTGTATTATTTAGTAACTATTGTATTATTTTTCATATGAACAACTGTAACCCTACTTTTACCCCACCCTCTACTGGCAGCACCAAATATTAATACATAATCATTTTGCACAATTATACTAAAGAACCATTAGCTTGCAGACTGAACATGATAATAATCTCCTGTCCTCTAGAGAGGCTTAAAAACAAAAGCAGCCTTTGCATAATATAAAATGCATTTCAGTTCATTTTCAGGCTTGATTGTGCTTTTATAGTTTTTCTGCTGTTCATCTTCAGTAATCACACTTCTGTTCTCTCAGCATTTGTCTTGATGATAAGGACCTGCTCATGTCAGACACAAACCCTCTCTTTTGAAGGCAAGCCACTCATGAATCTCATACATTTGATTATGATGATTACTTATCTGCTTTTGTCCAGCATTGCAGACTATCTATTACCTCAACCCTGCAACCTACTAAAGAACTTCCAAAAGAAAGTTAACAGACACCTAGGTTGGATCTGCCTAAATTGGTAAAGTGAATATTACAATAATGATCACTGGAAGGTGTGGGCTCTATGTTTTTAGGTAAAAAGCTCCTATGATCTTGACACTGTCAAAAGTCATTAAACTAAAAAAGCATACTTTCAGTTTTACTTGAAGATATGTGTGTTTACCAATGTGGGTGTGTAGGGGTTAGATAACTAATTTTTTCTTACCGTTCTCTTTTTATAAACATACACAAAAGTAGAGATGATACTATAGTGTACTTATAAACTCATGGCTGTTATTATTATGATGATTAGTAGTAGTATTTTACCCAATGTGGAATTCTTGGGAAATAAATCCTAGACATCATATTATTTAAAGAGATATCTTTAAAACATAAGAGCTCTACACAAATGTTTATAGCAGCTCCATTCATCATAGCCCATGGAAACAACTCAGATGCTCTTGCGAAGGTGGATGGTTAAACAAACTGTCATGGATCCTTACCGTGGAATATTGCTCAGCAATGCAGTCAGTGAACCAACAACTATTGATACACTCCACAACCTCGATGAATCTCTGCATTATTGTGCTGAGTGTAAAAGGCCAGTTCCAAAAGAGTGCATAGTGTATGATCCCATTTATAAAGCTATAGATAGGAGAACGGATACGTGGTTGCCAAGGGGTTAGAGAGGGAAGTGTAGGTGGGAGGAAAGTGGGTATGGAGGGACGTGTTGTGTATATGACTGTATCACTGTCAACATCTTGGCTGGGATATCATACCATAGTTTTGCAACATATTACTATTGGGGGAACTGGGTAAAGGGTATAAAGATCTCTTTGTATTATATTTTATAACCACACATGAATCTACTGTTATCTAAACATAAAAAGTTTAATTAAAAAAAAGACACAAAAATATAACCACAATTCTATTATCACAACAAAAATTTTAAATTTCTTAATATCCTTAAATAGCAATTGATGTTTAAATTTTCCCAAGTGTCTTGTTTCTTTTTATACTTTCTTTGAAAAGGATCCAAATAATCTTTATACATTAAAATGATTAACATGTCTTTAAGATATTTTGAATCTAAGATTCTCATTTCTCTCTCTTTTTTTTCCCCCTTACAGTTTGCTGTTGAGAAACAAGGTTGTTTGTCCTAAAGTATTTCAGTCTGGATTTTTTTTTTCTAGTTATATCTCTGTGGTGTCATTTAGTGTTTCTCCCTGTATTTCCTATCAGTTGTTGTTAGCTCTGGAGGCTTAACCAGATTCAGGTTTGGCTTTTTGGGCAAGGATACTTCCTAGGTTCTGGGTACTTCTGTCAGGAGGCACATGAATTCTGGTTATTGCTCTTTTTTTGTGATGTTAGTAGCCATTGATGATTATTACCTATGTTTTTTAATTCATTAGGGGGTGCAAAATGGTGATTTTTCTAATTTTATCATTCATTATTTATTAGGTGGACTACTATAATGACGCATTTTCCCTCACCAGCTTAGTTACCTGAGGTATGCTTTGCATAGAAAAGGCAGGACAAATACTTGGTTCTTTCTCTTTATAGTCTAGCTGTCCAGATAATGAGTTGATTTTCAGCATCCTCCAAAGGTCACCAAGAACTTTTTTTATGTATCTTTATGAGATCATGGATATACTGTAAATGTTTTATGCAGTTCAGTTAATTGTAGTGATTATCTTCATTGATACTTCATTTGCCTTATCTTTGGCCACTGAAAGTCTCTTTAACTTGTCTCCTGAACTATTTTGATACTACTCAAATAGCTTTGCTGGCTTCTTGCTTTTTTGGTATGATTGTTTGTTGCACATTCCTGCCCAGAC